ACACTCTGGGTAAAGTGACACACTCAGGGTACAGTGATAAACTCGGGGTACAATGACACACTCGGGGTACAGTGACCCACTCAGGGTGCAGTGACACACTCAGGGTACAGTGACACACTCAGGGTACAGTGACATACTCAGGTTAAAGTGACACATTCAGGGTACAGTGACAAATTCAGGGTACAGTGACACACTAAGGGTACAGTGACACACTCAGGGTACAGTGACACACTCAGGGTACTGTGACAAACTCAGGGTACTGTGACAAACTCAGGGTACAGTGATACACTCAGGGTACAATGACACACTCAGGGTACAGTGACACACTCAAGGTACAGTGATACACTCGGGGTACAATGACACACTCGGGGTACAGTTACCCACTCAGGGTGCAGTGACATACTCAGGGTACAGTGACATACTCAGGGTACAGTGACACACTCAGGGGTACAGTGACACGCTCAGGGTACAGTGACACACTCAGGGTACAGTGACATACTCAGGGTACAGTGACAAACTCAGGTTAAAGTGACACATTCAGGGTACACTGACACACTCAGGGTACAGTGACAAATTCAGGGTACAGTGACCCACTAAGGGTACAGTGACAAACTCAGGGTACTGTGACAAACTCAGGGTACTGTGACAAACTCAGGGTACTGTGACACACTCAGGGTACAGTGACACACTCAGGGTACTGTGACAAACTCAGGGTACTGTGACAAACTCAGGGTACAGTGACACACTCAGCGTACAATGAAACACTCAGGGTACAGTGACATACTCAGGTTACAGTGACACACTCAGGGTACAGTGACACACTCGGGGTACAGTGACATACTCAGGGTACAGTGACATACTCAGGGTACGGTGACATACTCATGTTACAGTGAGACACTCAGGGTACAGTGACCAACTCAGGGTACAATGACACACTCAGGGTACAGTGACACAATCAGGGTACATCGACACACTCAGGGTACAATGACACACTCAGGGTACAGTGACACACTCAGGTTATAGTGACACACTCAGGGTACAGTGACCAACTCAGGGTACAATGACACACTCAGGGTACAGTGACACAATCAGGGTACATCGACACACTCAGGGTACAATGACACACTCAGGGTACAGTGACACACTCAGGTTATAGTGACACACTCAGGGTACAGTGACAAACTCAGGGTACAGTGACACACTCGGGGTACAATGACACACTCGGGGTACAGTGACAAACTCAGGGTACAGTGATACACTCGGGGTACAATGACACACTCAGGGTACAGTGACACACTCAGGGTACAGTGACACACTCAGGGTACAGTGACACACTCGGGGTACAGTGACACACTCAGGGGATACAATGGTAAGTGACACACTCAGGATACAGTGACACGCTTATGGTACAGCGACGCATGCACATGGTAGAGTGACACATGATCATGGTACAGAGACGCACACTCCTGGTACAGCGACGTACCAGCATGGTATAATGACGCACGCACATGGTACAGTGACTCGCACGCACATGGTACTTTTGGTGTTTGTATGTAGATGTGTGTGTATATCATTGTGTGTATATTTTGTGAGCATATGTGTATCCGTTTATGCATATATGCGTGTATCAACGTATGTTTAAGATAAAATTCTTACAGAAATAGGTTACCTGATAAAGTACGATTCTCAATTGACAAATGAGGAACAAAGATTTGATGTCATCACTTTGCATGGTTATTGTCCCCTTGGACGCTGTGGACAATCGTAGTAGCGTAAGTAGGCATAATACATTTTAAAACATTAAAGTCAATGAACCTTTATTTACTTCACATGCGAGTTACATACAAGCGTTTCCGCTACCCTCATACTTCAACAATGTATATTTACATCAAAATGACATGGTATAGGCGAAAAGAGGCAACAATATTCGTTGTTCACCACAAGGTAAACGCCTTTAATGTCACGTTAAAGAAGAAAACGTTATCTTTAAATGGCCCTTACACTCAACTTGGTCTGCCCTGTCAGCACTGACCGAAATGACATAGGGTATATATAATGGCCTATCATTCAACAATCTGAGAGGGCTATACAAGCACTCTGTGGAGGATGGAAAAATACATATTACATAGGAATCCTGTTATTTCTGTGAATAATTATTGTTTTTGTAAAACCTTATTTCAAAGTATCTTTTTAAAGTAGTTTCTGGAAAAAATGCTTTTGGATAGACTCTTCAAACATACATCTTCTGACTAATTTGACACACGTATCTTAAATGCTTAGGCACCATACGTGAACCTACAATTTATTCTGTCATAATATATAATATTAGCATACATAAGGTTGGATGGGCAATGACAAACTACTGTACACCATCTGAAAGGAAGATCATATGGACAATGACCAGCTACTGTACACCATGTGAAAGGAAGATAACATGGACAATGGCCAACTACTGTACACCATATGAAAGGAAGATCATATGGACAATGACCAACTACTGTACACCATGTGAAAGGAAGATAATATGGACAATTGCCAACTACTGTACACCATGTGAAAGGAAGATCGGATGGGCGATGAACAAAAACTGCACAGCATACGACAGGTGATCGATTCGGCAATAATCTCCGCACTTTTACGCCACTTCAACTATAGGTAACCAAACAAATATCTTAATGTCACTTTCAGATGTTCGGAAGGATACGCTTGGAATGGCGTGTACTCAGACTGCAAATTCATGTCTGGGTGGAAATACCATAATGTGATGTGTATCCCTCAGCGAGATAAATAATGTGTAGGGTATCCTGGAAGTGGCTCAGTTCGTGTCTATACTCTTCAAATAAAGTAGGGAACCTGAACATTCAATTTGGATTGACAGACAGACATCTTATGAACGCACCACCATTTCTCTTTATCACAACCCCTAAACACAATGCATGGAATCAGTGTATGAAATAATCCCCGTCCGACCGCCCGAGACGGGTTAGATTTCAGACGGACGGTCTAGATTTACAGCTAGCCAGCCCGATGGTCTGGTAAAAACAATTAGATGTTATATACAATTGAGTCATATCTTTGTGTCTGGTCTGGTTAAATGCATTTTTGACATGTAACATTTTGAAGTTACCAGCCCTGATGTCTGGCTGGGTATTTGGCTTATTTCATACACTAATGGAATGCACGTGCGCAACGCAGTAGCCCCAATGAGTATCATTCTTGATTTTGAGAACTTTCAAGGAGATCGATGAAATTACTGTAGACCATTAACTTTGACAATCATCTTGCATCACACCGTTGTTAGTGTACACGTACACAATCGTACACATGCAAATTTGACGTCATACACCAATCATCTTTCCAGAGCGATTATGGTCATAAGGAAGTACAAGAGCAAAATATTCATTATTATCCTATGGACATTGATTGACTTCGATATATCTCCCAATTCTTTCAATCGTAATAAAAAATGAAGTTCCCCTACATTTTTTAAGAGTATATGTGCAAACGATATGAAACGATTAGATAATAAATGTTATTAAAGGCTTAGAGTGGAATGTAAAACATCGATTGTCATTTTACAGTTGTTAACATCTAATGCTAGACACAATTTCTGACTATAGGGATTGATCGATCGAGAGGATTCCGCGACGCAGCTGTATCTTACAATCCCATGTTGCAGCTGTTTAAGACTATTGCAACCATGTAACGTCACATTACTGTTTCATGCGTCGACTCATTGCTCTCACGTTTGTTCATACACCTGAATACATAGTGCTCATAATTTGGGATGAACTTGGATAAGTTCCTGCAAATTGTAAATTGTTGTCCAAAATCATTCAATGACACCTGATGAAATATGCAGTGGCATTGTTTCCTAGTTTTAACCCCTTATATCCTTATATGTAAAGTCACGTTCCTAAAATGAACATCGTTTGAATCAGAAGAACAAATATTAACAGGTTTCACCGAGTCCATAATGGAGGGACAAGTGTGGGGGACAACTCTCTCATAGGTCACGACCCTCTCAGACATAATCCCGATAGGATACAAGCCATGCTAGAATACATACACCATGTACACAAACATGCCCATCAAAGAAATATAAATAGGCACCGTATCCGCTTTAGAAAATACACTAACTGCCTTTAAAGTCTTTGGTGCTGGTTCACAGAAACCAACAACTTGAAGTGCAATGTATTGGTAAACAGTTCTTACAGTAATATAACTGATTGAAAAGATAAAGATATGTTTGGGTTAACTGACTTAACTTCGCATGGATGTACATACGTTTCATTAATAGATACAACAATGGAATTTGTTGAAGATTAATAATGATGTGAGAAAGAAAGGTATCAGGTCAAAATGAACCGGAAAGCACCGGTACGACCTGCTTGAGATGGAACATTTGATATCAAGTACTTGATTGTTATGGGACTTTGGATAGTCACTGCATTTTGTTGTATTTTTATTCGACTTTTGTTGACGTCACACTCTACTGTTCGTTTTGTAATTTGTAACTCAATGTCAGTCATATACGAGTAAATGTGTATTGGTTCCTTATCTTAACCAGACGCCAGGTGAAGTGACCAGATTCTAATTGATGTTTGGACCACCCAGTACACCAGACGCCAGGTGAATTGACCAGATTCTTATTGATGTTTGATGTTTGCACAACTTTCGTGCTGATGATTGAATTGTCGTGTTGTTCAATCATTGTAGTAAACTGAAACAATATGTCTGCGTAGATACATGATACGTTAGGGTAAGGGGGCTTTTATTTCAGTGAAGCTTTCTTCCTGTGGGGATTTATTTCCGGGTAAGTTTTAACATACGGGGCTAGTATGTACTGGCATTGTCGGCTTTTGCCCGACCACGGAGTGTACAAGTCTTGACCTGGTCAAATGGAATTTGGAAGAGGTTGTAAAGGAAAATAACCACAAAAAACCCCCCAAAAACCCAAATCCCCAAAATAAAACAACAGAAAACAAAAACAAAAAACCAACAATTAATACGAGGTTGTTGTCCAGAAAAAGTACATATTTTAACATGCCATCGATGTGTTGCCTAGGTTTCGTTTCGTTTCGTTGTACCCTTTCCTCCGTGAATAGTCGTTAATGATTGTCACATGTATTTGTGGAGGCAGTCACGTTCAACAAGCAGAAACCATATCACAACACTTCTTGCATACGCTTAAGAAACTCTCTCTCTCTCTCTCTCTCTCTCTCTCGTCACCTTGGGACTTGTGGGAACATGGGATGTGTATATGTCATGTCCACAGAAGCATCAAGAGATGGTAACATGAGGCAATATGAGCCATGCTAGTAGAGCATCCATGTTTGCGTCGTAACCCAAGGAAACTCCATACTTTCACTGAGGAGTCACATAAGCAGAAATAAATATACAACGCAATATTGAGTAATTTCATCGTTGTCCTGTCACCGATTGATGGAAAATGAAAATGAACAAATACGCTCGATGCCAGGAATCCAAATGGGATCTCATCGACATTTGCACAGCCTCCCGCCACGGCACTTCATAATGTCCTGTTATGCAACACTGGTGAAATTGAGATTTATATAATTATTGTCCCCTTGTATATTGAAACTACGTGGATTAAAGTTGTGTGGATGTGGGCTTTTCCTAAAGGCTGTTAGCCCAAGCTGAGTTAACTTTGTATACAGCTGGTATAAACTAACGTATGAACTTTTGGCTGGCCAGTCAGGAAAAAGATGCCATTCTAAGTAGAATTGTCTAATTTTCTTGAAAATTCCATCTTCCATTATATTTTTCACGACCGCCCACTCGTGTCCTTCTACGTCGATTTTCAAAACATCCAGCACTCTCTGAAACAATATACAAGAGAAACATTTTAAAACCTAACATTAGAGAATAGGTGGTGTTATGTGTGAATACATTTGTAGTACATACCAGTGGCTCCATTATTCAACTGATGTTAAATAAAACGACGTGTTGTCGTGACCATATTTGAAGTCGAGTCTACAACAGCACGTGGGGCGTCCAAGAATCGTTTCGCAATATAATAAGAGTTACCTCCCTTGTATACATGGCCATGGAAGGTTGGACAGTTTGAACGGTCCAGGGATGGGACAGTTTCTGGAAGCCTTGTAATACATACAAACACTTTGGCGACAAGAGGTCGCGTTAAGGTGACCTGAATCTTTTCTTATCTACTTGCCTAGTAGTGTTTTCCTACTTACCTGAAAAAAAGTGTCTTCAAAGTGTATTATTAATTCAAGCAATGACAAGGGGCTCTGATAACTAATTTTATATATATTTATTAATCTATTCGTTCGTTCGTTCATTCATTCATTTATTGATCTATTTATTTATTGACGTTATTTGGCCTCTTACCTATTTCATACCTATTATCTGTGGGAACCGATTTCTTGGTAAACTTCTGCGTCCCAATTTCGAAATATCCTATCGCTTCAAATACCTTGCGATAAACTGGCAGTACAAAACAGAGTTACACATATATGAACATTTATATAAATGCATACGCTTTCTGAATCCTGAATTTTTGATGTTCTCATTAGGAAGATGGACAGTGCAGGACCTATATAGGTGCGTGTAATACAACTGAAGTATAATATGTGTGAAATATAGCACGTGCATTAACATCTAACCGAGATAAATTATGTGTGTGAAGTGTGGTGAGTGTGTGTAAAATAACACATTTGATAAATTTAGTGTATATAAGGGCTGTATAATTGTGTAATAGTTGGATATAACGGAGTGAGTGATCAACTTGGGATTAACGCAGCCTCAAACAGTAATCCAGCTGCATCATGTCCTGCCAGCCTACAGTGGGAGGAATGCTACCAAGTGATTTAGGTGTTTGTCGTTTACTAGTTCACTGACGAACATAGGGATATAATCGGGTCGAACCTTGATGCAACTACACGATCACAGCATTCTGGCGTGCCCAAGGGACGCAACTCACACGATAGATCCACTCATGCACGTTCGAAATAATAGAAAAGTATGTCGTTAATCCAAGAGCAGAAGGATTGATGTTTGAACACAATTCTTTGAAGGTTTTCTATGCTATTTACGTGGATAGCCTATGTTGATTCTGATTGGCCAGTCAGAGGGTATCACGGTGTAGGCGTGCTGTCCATTAGTACTTAATAAACTTCATCTACGAGTATCATGGCATCCTTACAATTCTTGTGGCATAGTTAAACTGACAAGGCACAAACACGTCTTTCATCACTATACCAGGAATCAAGTGTAACAACGTCTTCGTTTTGCAATCACTATATGGTTTCAGTTATTACTCCACTCTCCTGCAAGGTGAAAGCATACAGAATATATTTGTGTAAATTTAGTATAGTAATCCTGGATTAATGATTGAAGGAGGTAGAAAGCAAAACATACCAGTCTCAGAAGGCCGTGTCCTGTATGTATAGTATCAACACCAGAAAATGAATATAATTTTATGGTTGAATGTCCATTTATGACAATTTAAGATGTGTAATATTACCTAAATAATTCTGCGAAAAGTCAATATTATTCATGTCACAAAATTCAGCTGTTTTGAACAGCCTTGCCATATACATGCTTCTTGGTATGAAGAAGCGTACTAAACTTTTGAATGTCTAAAATCATTTTGATACCTCCAACACAACTATTGGTGCTCAAGTATTGTTAATGCTTTTTAAAAATTTGTAACATACATGAGAAGGTGGCCTAATGACGGAAATATAGCGAACTGACCTGTCCTGCTCTCCCAAGTACCCGCACCCACAGCAACACTCGTGTTACGGAAATATAGCGAACTGACCTGTCCTGCTCTCCCACTCTCCCAAGTGGCCGCAAGTACCCGCACACCCACAGCAACACTCGTGTTACGGAAATATAGCGAACTGACCTGTCCTGCTCTCCCACTCTCCCAAGTACCCGCACACCCACAGCAACACTCGTGTTACGGAAATATAGCGAACTGACCTGTCCTGCTCTCCCACTCTCCCAAGTACCCGCACACCCACAGCAACACTCGTGTTACGGAAATATAGCGAACTGACCTGTCCTGCTCTCCCACTCTCCCAAGTACCCGCACACCCACAGCAACACTCGTGTTACTGAGAAGAGTAGGCCATTCAAAAGGATATATGAGAACCAATATTTGAGACGAAAAGGATTTTATCAGTTAATGGTTTTAGGTGCTATTTATTGTTGATATTTGTTCAAATAAACCATTTGATGCAAAAACAGAATTACTGTACTGGTATTGATGATTGTAGTCAACAGGACAATGGGAGTTGTGGGCAATATTTGCTATGTGGCAGTGATATTTGTTTTGTAGCAATGTTCCAAATGTTCCACATTGTACATGTGGTATTCAGTGAGTGACAGTGATGTGCTGTGTAGACTTCTGCTGTGTTACACCTTATAGACATCTCCGGGGAGGCTGATAACAGTGCAGCAAGATCAGGAAAGTGCTGCAAGGCGCTTCTTTGAAATCAGTTGCCTTTCTGTAAAATATTTCTACTATGGTTTTCTGAGGTATGTAATTCCAGCTAACTGTTGCCTCTTATCTCCCATTACATCATAAAACCAGAAGACTGATATCGTATGTGATGTTCATTACAGCCCGCATACTCTCTGCCTTGCCCTCTCTTCCAAGCTGCTGCCGAGAGATGAACATAACCGTCATTGTCTCTATTGCTGTAATCACTGCTATTGTATCATATTACCTCTGAATTTGTACTGCCACAATTCTATACTGACATACTGATAAGATTGTATCGATGAGCGTATAGTAAAGCAAATGTCTGTCTTGCAAAGTGGCGATGTCTCTATTTTAAAGCGAAGGTCAAGGTACTGGCTCAACTATAAATTGTAAACTGTCTAATTGTAATTGTAATGTAAAGTGAGTGAGTTGTGAAGTGGTTACAAACATAGTGAACTACTCAGTTTTCAGACTGTATGTGACAAGTGACTGTATAAACTCAGGCGCTCTCTGCCAAAAGTTATTCTCACTGGTGGTATGGGACGGTAGATGGTCGTCACTGCGTAAGTGCCGGCAGCATTTTGTTGTGACATTGCAGGATGTATGAGACTGTTACTACTGGTGATATCTAACTGTATGAACACAGGTTGTACATGATGGTGGAAATACACGATGTATGATACTGTGAATGCAGGTGATATCTAACTGTATGGACACAGGTTGTACATGATGGTGGAAATACACGATGTATGATACTGTGAATGCAGGTGATATCCAACTGTATGAACACAGGTTGTACAGGATGGTGGAAATACACGATGTATGATACTGTGAATGCAGGTGATATCTAACTGTATGAACACAGGTTGTACAGGATGGTGGAAATACACGATGTATGATACTGTGAATGCAGGTGATATCTAACTGTATGGACACAGGTTGTACATGATGGTGGAAATACACGATGTATGATACTGTGAATGCAGGTGATATCCAACTGTATGGACACAGGTTGTACATGATGGTGGAAATACACGATGTATGATACTGTGAATGCAGGTGATATCCAACTGTATGAACACAGGTTGTACATGATGGTGGAAATACACGATGTATGATACTGTGAATGCAGGTGATATCCAACTGTATGAACACAGGTTGTACAGGATGGTGGAAATACACGATGTATGATACTGTGAATGCAGGTGATATCTAACTGTATGAACACAGGTTGTACATGATGGTGGAAATACACGATGTATGATACTGTGAATGCAGGTGATATCAACTGTATGACACAGGTTGTACATGATGGTGGAAATACACGATGTATGATACTGTGAATGCAGGTGATATCTAACTGTATGGACACAGGTTGTACATGATGGTGGAAATACACGATGTATGATACTGTGAATGCAGGTGATATCTAACTGTATGGACACAGGTTGTACATGATGGTGGAAATACACGATGTATGATACTGTGAATGCAGGTGATATCCAACTGTATGAACACAGGTTGTACAGGATGGTGGAAATACACGATGTATGATACTGTGAATGCAGGTGATATTTAACTGTATGAACACAGGTTGTACATGATGGTGGAAATGCACGATGTATGATACTGTGAATGCAGGTGATATCTAACTGTATGAACACAGGTTGTACATGATGGTGGAAATACACGATGTATGATACTGTGAATGCAGGTGATATCCAACTGTGTGAACACAGGTTGTACATGATGGTGGGAAATACACGATGTGTGAGACTGTGTGTGAATACAGTTTGTAACAAAAGGTATAAACACACAGGTGGTATATACTTGTGAATACCGACAGTATGAGTTATGTTACCACAGGTGGTATATGCTTGTGAATACCGACAGTATGAGCTGTGTTACCACAGGTGGTATATACTTCATGAATACCGACAGTATGAGCTGTGTTACCACAGGTGGTATATACTTGTAAATACCGACAGTATGAGCTGTGTTACCACAGGTGGTATATACTTGTGAATACCGACGGTACGAGCTGTGTCACCACAGGTGGTATATACTTGTGAATGGCTGTGAATACCGACAGTATGAGCTGTGTTACCACAGGTGGTATATACTTGTGAATACCGACGGTATGAGCTGTGTTACCACAGGTGGTATATACTTGTAAATACCGACAGTATGAGCTGTGTTACCACAGGTGGTATATACTTGTGAATACCGACAGTATGAGCTGTGTTACCACAGGTGGTATATACTTGTAAATACCGACAGTATGAACTGTGTTACCACAGGTGGTATATACTTGTGAATACCAACAGTACGAGCTGTGTCACCACAGGTGGTATATACTTGTGAATACCGACAGTATGAGCTGTGTTACCACAGGTGGTATATACTTGTGAATACCGACAGTATGAACTGTGTTACCACAGGTGGTATATACTTGTGAATACCGACAGTATGAGCTGTGTTACCACAGGTGGTATATACTTGTGAATACCGACAGTATGACTGACTGACTGACTGAGTTTGGTTTTACGCCGCTGTTAGCAATATTCCAGCAACATCACGGCGGGGACACAAGAAATGGGCTTCACATTGTACCGTCTGGTGTGGGATTCGAACCCGGGTCTTGACGTGACGAGCCAACGCTTTAACCATTGGGGCTACCCCACCGCCTGACCGACAGTATGAGCTGTGTTACCACAGGTGGTATATACTTGTAAATACCGACAGTATGAACTGTGTAACCACAGGTGGTATATACTTGTGAATACCGACAGTACGAGCTGTGTTACCACAGGTGGTATATACTTGTGAATGCCGACAGTATGAGCTGTGTTACCACAGGTGGTATATACTTGTGAATACCAACAGTACGAGCTGTGTCACCACAGGTGGTATATACTTGTAAATACCGACAGTATGAGCTGTGTTACCACAGGTGGTATATACTTGTAAATACCGACAGTATGAGCTGTGTTACCACAGGTGGTATATACTTGTGAATACCGACAGTATGAGCTGTGTTACCACAGGTGGTATATACTTGTGAATACCGACAGTATGAGCTGTGTTACCACAGGTGGTATATACTTGTGAATCGCCGCCGACAGTATGAGCTGTGTTACCACAGGTGGTATATACTTGTGAATGCCGACAGTATGAGCTGTGTTACCACAGGTGGTATATACTTGTGAATACCGACAGTATGAGCTGTGTTACCACAGGTGGTATATACTTGTGAATACCGACAGTATGAGCTGTGTTACCACAGGTGGTATATACTTGTGAATACCGACAGTATGAGCTGTGTTACCACAGGTGGTATATACTTGTGAATACAGGTGGTATGTAACTGCATAAACACAGGCGGTATATGACTGTGGGCATGTAGGTGTTATATGACCGAGTGAATAGCTGGTATATGACCCGTGTAAATACAGGTGATATATGCCTGTAGTTATTGGCGTTATCTTGTTTGAATACAGGTGGTATCTGGGTTTGTTTGAGTACAGGTGGTATCTGGGTTTGTTTGAGTACAGGTGGTATCTGGTTTTGTTTGAATACAGGTGGTATCTGGTTTTGTTTGAATACAGGTGGTATCTGGTTTTGTTTGAATACAGGTGGTATCTGGTTTTGTTTGAATACAGGTGGTATCTGGTTTTGTTTGAGTACAGGTGGTATCTGGTTTTGTTTGAATACAGGTGGTATCTGGTTTTGTTTGAATACAGGTGGTATCTGGTTTTGTTTGAATACAGGTGGTATCTGGTTTTGTTTGAGTACAGGTGGTATCTGGTTTTGTTTGAGTACAGGTGGTATCTGGTTTTGTTTGAATACAGGTGGTATCTGGTTGTTGCGTACATATCTGTGTAAATATAACTTGCATATTCACTTAACGTGTCAGTTCTGCGTGGCGTTAAACAGAAACCGTTACCGTCATTATCTCGCAATAATCAAGTAGTTATAGCCATTGCTGAATGGACTCGTTATGAGCTGCTGGGAGGGGGTTAACGGGGGTTAAGTGGTCTAATTAAACCACTTGATTCGTCTAATATACACCAGTCATAAATTATTGGTAGTTATTTGTTGGCCATAACACAAACATGTAGCTGTATGACCTATTAATTACTCACTCTGCATGAACGTCACAATAACTGTCTACGGCATTTACACAGCTAACTATGCGGGAAAGGAATGCTATAAAGGAATGTTATAAAATAATGTTATAATTGAATGTTATAATGAAATGGTATAATGGAATGTTATGAAGGAATGTTATAAAGGAATATCATAAAGGAATGTTATAAAGGAATTGAATGTGAGTGAGCAGGACAGATGTTTCCTATCGTGTCCAACGGTAGGTATATCACATCCTTATCATGTCACATAGGAAGTGCCATCGTGTTGTTTAACGGAATAATCCACTTGCCTTTAACTATCCATTCATTTATACATACTTTCACTGTATCTATAAGTGGAACTTTAAAGCTGAAATAGCAGTGAAGCAAAACTGCGTTATTCTTGACTGTAGCGGTTTCATCTAGATGTAGTTCCGTGGAGTGATCTCAACATTGTAGGCTGCTAGAAAGTAAATGTTGATAGATCAATACGTACATGTTCGTGTCCCAGCTCTTTCATGATGGTTTCAAGAGTTCTTATTTTCCACAGCTGTGTATTTTTTGACATACATGTCCTTCCTTGCTTCGAAAGTGTCGCTGTCCACCGCGCTCAACCCCATGGCGTGAAACGTCACTCTGTCGCTGCGCCTGTGGTCATCCTTGTGCATGCTGTAACGACGAACGTAGAATGGTCACCAAATATCTTAAACTTCTGAACTGGCACACAATTTCTTTATTGACAAACATTATAAATAACAACTTTTTTATTTCGTGAGTGCGACGTATCGACACAGATTCTTGTACCGTGTCAAGCTAGGAACCGTCGCACTCAAGAAATAAAAAGCCGCTATCCATGAAGTTTGTCAATGTTATACTTCCCAACTTCTAAGATGCCCCTCAAAGTCAAAGTTTCTTTCCCAAATTAATAAAATGAAAGACGCATTCCACGTCATTCATTTGTTAAACAAATATGCACTCGCTCCACGACTGGCTCTCGTCATGGCGTCAAACATCTATGATGGAGGGGTAGGTTAGCCTAGTTGTTAAAGCGTTCGCTAGTCACGCATAAGGCCCAGGTTTGGTTCCCCATGTCTGCTTTGTGTCAAGGTCCATTCTACGCTGTATTTCGGTTTAACATGTACGCATCAACCAAATCCAATGTACGAATGAACGAAGCACATGTGACGCATGTGGTCTCACCTTAGGCAAGTGAGTTTGTTCAAAATTGCCTCTGTCCACCCAGCAGTAAAATTGGGTACCTGGTATGATACGATGCTAGTCTGAATTTGAACCTTGAGCGCCTGACAGGCGACCGGTTGTATTCTCCACATGGAGTGTTCTGTACTCGTTGACCAGGGGTAATATGTCAGCGCTTTGAGCATGCAATGTGCATGGATAAACGCGCAATATAAATGGACTATTATTATTATTATTATTACAGTGTCTGTCGGAACGTCATTGGTTATGACCCCGATACTAGGGTGTGGTCCCCACACTGTAAGTCCCATCCATCTCTGACCTCGATACTGGGGTGTGGTCCCCACGCTGTAAGTCCCTCCATCTCTGACCCCGATACTGGGGTGTGGTCTCCACACTGTAAGTCCCCTCCATCTCTGACCCGATACTAGGGTGTGTTCCCCACACACTGTAAGTCCCATCCATCTCTGACCCGATACTATGGTGTGGTCCCCACACTGAAAGTCCCATCCATCTCTGACCCCCGATACTGGGGTGTGGTCCCCACACTGTAAGTCCCATCCGTCTCTGACCCCGATACTAGGGTGTGGTCCCCACACTGTAAGTCCCATCCGTCTCTGACCCCGATACTATGGTGTGGTCCCCACACTGTATGTCCCCCTCCATCTCTGACCCCGATACTAGGGTGTGGTCCCAACACTGTAAGTCCCATCCATCTCTGACCCCGATACTAGGGTGTGGTCCCCACACTGTAATTCCCCTCTCCGTCTCTGACCCCGATACTAGGGTGTGGTCCCCCACACTGTAAGTCCCCTCCATCTCTGACCCCAATACTAGGGTGTGGTCCCCACACTGTAAGTCCCATCCATCTCTGACCCCGATACTAGGGTGTAGTCCCCATACTGTAAGTCCCATCCATCTCTGACCCTGATACTAGGGTGTGGTCCCCACACTGAAAGTCCCATCCATCTCTGACCCCGATACTAGGGTGTGGTCCCCCACACTGTAAGAAGTCCCATCCATCTCTGACCCTGATACTAGGGTGTGGTCCCCACACTGAAAGTCCCATCCATCTCTGACCCCGATACTATGGTGTGGTCCCCACACTGTAAGTCCCATCCATCTCTGACCCCCGATACTGGGGTGTGGTCCCCACACTGTAAGTCCCATCCATCTCTGACCCCGATACTATGGTGTGGTCCCCACACTGTAAGTCCCATCCATCTCTGACCCTGATACTAGGGTGTGGTCCCCCACACTGAAAGTCCCATCCATCTCTGACCCCCGATACTATGGTGTGCGGGTCCCCACACTGTAAGTCCCATCCATCTCTGACCCTGATACTGGGGTGTGTGGTCCCCACACTCCAGCCAAAGTCCCATCCATCTCTGACCCCGATACTATGGTGTGGTCCCCACACTGTAAGTCCCATCCATCTCTGACCCTGATACTAGGGTGTGGTCCCCTCACTGTAAGTCCCATCCGTCTCTGACCCCGATACTAGGGTGTGGTCCCCTCACTGTAAGTCCCATCCAGTCCCGGTGTACGTATGGAGCACTACTCCCAGTTTGACTACTCATGAACATAAACATATAATGGAGCACCCCTACACTTAATAATAATGCCTACTGTACCTGTATAGGGGAGTACTCCCCAGTTTGTCTACTCTTTGAAATAAGGGAGACTCCCAGGGCCTACCTGTCATGATTAGAAACCAAGTGAATCGGGGATCTTGTGATCATTCATTGTTTGTCTTTGATATTTGGTGATAACTTTGTAAACTTACAGTACAGGTTGTTTGTTTTGAAAATTGGACATAATCCCTCCAACTTCCATTCAAACTATTAACTGTGAAACGCAAAGATATTCTAAATCATTTTTACCAGGTCATTATAACGAAGTCGTTATTCACTACCTTTTTTCATGTCGGAACTATCAAAGTTGAAGCACTACGGTGTATTTTTATATTCAACAATACGATGTTAGAACTACTCTATACGGTAACGGCGCATTGAATAACTCAACAAATAGTGACATTCTCAACTCATTACATCAGTTCATGTCTAAAAGTAACCGCTTCCAGTGATTATCATATCTACATATACATGTATACTCAATGAAAGACAAGTTTTATATAACGTGATTCTCTGAGGCAGCTCATTTCGTTTCTACACATAACCAACACCATAGCAAACATATTTATTATTTATCATTTATCTGTTATTTTGTCTCAGTATTATTCTTTTGTCAAATTATTCCAATTATGTATCCAGGTATTGGAACAATGTACTGGAGTGGCGTTTATATGGTTGAGTTGAGTTGAGTTGGGTTTTACGTCACATCGGCATTATTCCAGCCATATAGTGACGAGATCAAGTCTGAATTAATACACCTTGTAAGTACAAAGTCCAAATGAGTTTTATTATAAAAGTATAGCTTGTTCGCCTATCCAGGCTTTTCTGCTTTGACGGAATAAATATATGTTTAAACCATATTAAAGTACCAGAGATTCATTGAGCTGTCAACGGCGGACCCATCACAGTGTTTACAAAGTCCGTGTCGCTAGTGCTGCCCATAGTTTAAAATATTACACAACACAATAACTTCTTTAATTCACTTACTATGTAGTGTATATGATATAAAACTCAGATATGTAACTCAGTATATGTGTATGCTTGAACTCTTCCACAGCAATGACCTATGTAATTAGCTGAATAAATATTGTATGAACCTGGTACAGCTATAATTGTTTACAGGTGTTGGAACAGTCTTCCTGATGGAGGAGAGCTAGTAATTACAACCACTCGACTGGAACAGGTTGTGTATTGGACGGGTAGTCAAACTGGGAGTAGTCATACTGGGAATGAACCCACAACTGTGTGGGATAGTTATATGCTGACAACTGTCAGAGATATAATCCTTAAGACTTCAGAACAAAATTAGTTTATGCCCGATCAGAAGGGTTTCAAATAAGGCGCACACTGTCTTTAAAGAGGATTTTTAAAACATGGATGTGCTTTCGAATTAATAGATAATGCACATTTAATCAAATCCAATTTCATGCATGTAAAATGTAAACCGGGCACATGAAAACCAGTCAGAACTGTGTACTGTCGATATCGGAACATTATCTAAGCTTCATCGAGACTGTCTTGAATGTCTAGAACGGAACCAGTTTGATGGTGAGATGACATTAGACGGTGGTATATCCACTTAAACGAATGACAACATTAACAGCTGTTACGGACACGTGTGCTTGTGTTCTTCAGTTACAGAAACAATAACAAAACTCCGAGACATTACAAAAGTATATGACTAATTCATGGCAATATATTAACCAATGTTTTTGGCATTTTGGATCACATTATATATAATTCTTGCAATTGGAATATAATGAATTTACCTCGGATCAAATGAGTGCACTTCACATCAATCTTTCCCATTGCATCGTCAAAACTGAAATCGTTTTGCAATTCTGAAATAGAAACACATTAATATTTACAGCAAAACAAAACTTTGTCAGCATTCACCAATATTATGACATAAATGCCGACGAGACATCATATTGTGAACAGCCCGCGTCACAATTGGTGGCAGTCAGTCACGGACATTTCTGTAATTCGAGCAGCAACTATCGAAGTCACAGTGGCCGTGCTTGTTTACTCTCCACATACACATACCTGATCTAACGTATTTATAACCTGATCTTACAAAATTCAAACTTCTCATGAGTTTAAATATAGACCATTTTCCTCAGAAGGGCCTCGCTCCAGTAAGCGATAACAACGCTATGACAATCGTAACCAACGTTGACTTATGGTGTTATCATCAGCATTAATGGAACGGGACACAAACCTGTAATAGGTAGTACATTCTGGAGAATAATATATTGCCACCTGTGTACTGAACGATCTAAAATCACCCGTATGAATCCTCTTGGTTTGTTGGATATTTCGTTTGTGTTTCAATGTTTCTGTTTACGGATGTTTGGGTTTCTACAGCCTTTTGAACCTTTGACTTCTTTACAGAGATTGGGAAGATGTAATTAACAAAAAACATTGTTTTGCTGGAAACATATATTATTTGTTCTATTTCTTAATCAGTTTGGGGCGGTGGGGTAGCCCAGTGGTAGGTACGCTCGTCACGCCGAATACCCGGGTACAATGTGTGAAGCCCATTTCTGGTGTCCCCGCCGTGATATTGCTGGAATATTGCTAAAAGCGGCGCAAAACTACACTCACTCTCTCCTTATTTAATCAGTTTATTGTACAACAGGATCCATTTTGTAAGAGTTGTTTTCTTATAAAGGTTAGTTCATAAGGAGGAGCTGC